TATTTATTTAAATAATTATTTAAATTCTCTTATTTTTTATTAAAATTCTATCTTGTTTAGTTAAACCTAGATCAAAATATTTAATTCCGAAAAGTATATATTATGGAGTTTTAATCTATTAGTAAAATTTAATAAAAAAATATATTATTGAATCTGACAAAGTCATTCCATAAAAAAGCTAATTATCTGCATTTTTACTTACCAAACTATGAATTATTACTTTAGAAGTTATTTTTGTAAATAAATGAATAACATCTTGTTTTTATAATTAATTGTTTTAAATTATTTATTTAAAAAGATTTATAGTCTACTCTTTCATATTCGGAACTCTTTTTTGAAGATAATCGAAATTGAAATAACCAGTGTATATATACCTTTATTTTTTCCATTGGTCATATTCTATTACTGGAAAAGATTAGCGTACTAATTTCATTGGTTCTATTGGAAATTTATATTTGCCATATATTTTAGCCTACTACATATAGAATTCTTTAATCAATTCAATATCTAATAATAATAAAACTACTCTATTACTTAAGTTCTCAACTAAAACTTTAGGTTGATTTCCATCATCAAATGCATGTTGGTGGTGATACAAACAATTTTTGTATTTTTCTAAGAATTACTATTAAAAGTAAAAACTACCTAGCAAAGGAAAAAATTAACCCTTTCCATATTTTAAATATGATCTATATCTTCTATATGGTAATATTATTGTAGCAAATAATAGATATATAAGGAGTAGAGAAATTAATAGCAAAGTAAATATAAATATCATAAATATTTATTAATATTAAAATTTATTTAATTTTTTTATTTATTTTGTAATTATTTTATATATCGAAACTATAATTAAAAATTAAAAAGAGCATATATATATATATATATTATGACTTTTTAAATTGATTAAGATTTTTATTTTTAAAAAGAATAAAAAAATAAATCAAATAAAAAAATATTAATTAAATAAAATATATATCTTTAAAAATAAAATTATAATATATTATTTTAAAATAATATTTTATTTTATTTATATTTATATTTTTTATTAATTTACTATTTAATTTTATATTTGATATAAATAAAATTAAATTAAATATAAATATATATATATACTTGTAAAATAAAATTTTTAATATATATATATATATATATATACTTTTATATATATATAAAATAATATATATATATATCTATATATAAAAATATTTATAAATATGTATATATTTTTCATTATAATTTTTTTTTTTTTAAAGATATAATAAAAGAATATTATAAAATTAGTTATAAAAATAATATATATAATAATTTTATCATTTATATTTATTAAATTTTAAAATTTAAATTTTAAAATATTTATTTAATTTTTTTAAATAGAAATTGAGGAAAACACATTTATTATAAATATTTTTAAATTATAATATAATTATTTTATATTTAATTTATAATTTGATATATATTAAAATATTGTAAATTCATTTTTTTTTTTAAATTTTTTTTTATAATTATTATTAAAATAATAAAAAAAAAAATTTTGTTAAAAATAAATAAAAAATAGTTAATAAAGATTTATAATAAAAAAAATAATATAAATTAAATATATATGGTTTCATTATTTAACTTAAATATTTTAAATTCTATTTATTTCCTGTGTATGAAAACTATAAATAAATAAATTATTAAAAATTTCTATAATATATAAATATATAAAAATAAAAAAAAACATATTTATATATTTACATATATATAAAAAAATTATAAAAATAAAATAAAATTTATATATATATATTTTTTATTATAAATAATTATTTATGCATATTTTACTCTGTCATTTTCTATATTAATAGTTAACTCTTTTATTTTTATTCTATAAGAATTTTTTCAATTTTTGCCTTTTCCTTTTGGTCTTTAATATAATTTAACTATTATTATCTTATAAAATCATTATTTTATTCTTATTCAAGTAGTCTTAACATTTCTACATTTTATCTTTGTTTAGTATCTTAAATACTTTTAAATTTTTCTTTTTCATCCGAAAATATATTTATAGAATCTTTATTTGTATTATTACTATATTTAAAATTTTATTTTGATATTTAAAATTTATTTTAATTTCTATTTTTTTTATTTATCAAAGAATTGTTTTTATTATTAAGATTTTATAAACTATTTATATCTACAGATTTGTTTTAAATTTACGGCTTAAGATTTTTCTATGTTTAAAAAAATGTTTTTTTTTAATTAAAAGTATTTTTCATTTAAAATTTTTAAGAACTAACATTTAAATTTTCACTTTTATATTAACTTATTATTTCTAAAGGATCAATCTTATTTTTTTTTTAAATATATTAACATATAATATATTTAATATAAATAATACTTTTCCTAATTTAACTTTTTCAATTTTCATAATAATTTATTCTTTTTATTAATTTATTTATTATCTCATTAATTTTCTTTAGCTTAAAAGAGTATTCTTTTCATTTTAAATATCATCTGCTTTTTCCATTTTCTAATTAATTTTTTACAAGAGTACTTACCTTTCATATTATTGCATTCTTGCTATTCCGTCTACTGTATCTTTTCGATCATTTCTGATGATATTTTTAAAATTGTATTTGTCATCTAGTTCCTGTTAATATTTTTCTTTGTGTTTTTGTAAAGAACTCTCTTTTTCCAAAAATTAACTGACATAACTTTAGGTTTTCCTCATCAAGATTTCATCATTTATCTTTTTACTTGCATTCTTTATTCTTTTATTTGCTAGTTTTTTAATTTAAGAAGTTTATTTTCTTCTTCTTTCTCTTTTTCGTGTATTTTTGTCTCAAATCTTACTCTAAAAAGCGAGTAATGTAATTTTATTTTTTCTGTTCTTTTATTGAATTCATTTTTTCCTTTATTATATAATTTTATTGAAACTTTAGTTTTATATTTTTTTTACTTCCTTACTAAGACTTCAGCTATTTATTATTAATGTAGAATTGCCTATTTTTTAGTTTCTAATATTTTTTATTTTTTCTCGTTTTCAAAATGTTAAAATTTCTATTAGTTTTCCTCTTCTTTTTATTAAAATTATTATTTTATTCTCTACATTTGATTTTCACTTTTTATTTTAGCTTAAAAAAGTTTTTCTTCAAGCTTTTATCGTTTATATTCAGCTTATTGTATTCTTTTTAATGAATTTTCTTGGAAGATCTTTATAAATATATAATGTTAAATTTTTCTTTTTTATAAAATAAATAAATTACCTGTTTTCTTATTTCATCTTTTTATGCCAATTCTTGTTTTTTTTAATTATTTTTTCTTCTTATTATTGAAATTTATAATTGGTTGTTTAACGAAAAATCTCTTCTTTTTGTTTATGTTCTTCTTCTTTTTTTTATTATTAAAGCTTTTGCTCTTTTCTTTTTTATTATTCCATGGCTTGCCATTGTTAATCTTTTCGTTCTTATTCGAGTTCTTTTTAGAGCATTTCTTGGATTTCTTTTTCGAATTTTTCTTAGCGTTTTTTTATAATTAAAGTCTTAATTCTTATATCTAATTATTTTAATATAAATTTATGTTTTTTTTAGATATTTTTTACTCTTTATCGCTATTCTTATTGTTCATTTTAAAGTTAGAGGTCTTTTTCTTTTTCTATTCTTTATTTTTCTTCATTTAATTTACGAATTTCTTAAAGTTTTATTTCGTTTTCCATTAGGTTTTATATTTCTCTTTACTTTTTTTTTTTAGATAAATAAAAAAAAGAAAAAAGAGTAAATTTACTTGTCGATTTTTGATTTTCTCAAGTTTAATTTTCTCAATTTCAATTAAAGAAAGTTGATTTCTCTAAGAAAATTAACTTTCTGCATAAGCCGAATACTATAAATATTAAAAATATTTATAAAAAAATAAGATATATACTTTTGCATGTCCAAAATCATCAAATTAACAAATTCCTGATTTAATTTCTTCTATAATTTTAATTCTGTAATCTTTTGCCATTTGTAGTTTACTTTTTCTTTTTTCTTCATAAAATTAAAGTTTTATTTACAAATGCTTTTTATCTACGAATTTATCTGCGTGAATTATTTTCATATCTTCTATTGTCTTTATTATTAAATCTTCTTGTAATATTCCGGTACGTCTTAATGCTTCTAGTGATCGAGGACTGTTTATAATAGGAAGTTTATTTAAATTTTAGTTAAAGTTTTCTAGGCTTATTAAATTTTACATTTTTTTATTTTGTAACTTTTTTAAAATAAAATTTATAATTTTTATTATTAATAAAATGATAGTTAAAATAATATTATATTATTAAAATTTTATTTATTAATGTTTAATATATTAATTGTTTATTATTTATAATTAAAATGATAAATATGTATAAAATTGTTAAAATTATAATATAATTTTTTGATATAAAAATATATTATAAAGAAAAAAATATAAAAATGCGTGATTGCAAATAAATATAAGTCATTTTTTAATTTTAATTAAGTTATGGAAAAGAAAAAGGAGTAATACTTAATTAAAATAATTATATATAAAATAAATATGAATAAATAAATATAAATATATATATAAATAAATATATATATATAATTATTTAATCATATATATATATATTTATCATATAATTTTTAAATTATTTTATATTTCATTTTAATCATATTCAAATGGATCTGCATTAAGAAGTTAATTAAATTTTTTATTATTTTATATTTAATTCATTTAGTTTTATTTTTTCTTTACGTTTTTTTCTTAATATTCATTATATATATCTTAGTAATCATATAAATCTTATAAAATATCTACATTGCAAAAATTAATTACATAAATTTTATTAATTATGAATTATTTTTCATTTACATTTATTTTCTCATTTATAATTTTTAAAACATTTTTTATTTAAGAATCTAGTTTAACATCTTAATTTATTTATTCACATATATAATTTCTAAATTCTTAATTACATTCATATAAAATAGATTTAAAAAAACAATAAAAATCCGTACAAAATTTCGGAGAATTTAAAAGCAATGACAAAGGACATAATTAATTTATTTTATAAGTTAAGTTATAAGCTTTTTCTCCTGCATCATCTAACATGCAAGCAAAAGGGAAAATAAAAACTAATGGTTTTGAATTTTATTTTTCTAAAAAAAAAAATTTGAAATCAAAATTGTTTATAAGGATTTAATAATCGTGAAATAATTTAATTTATTAAGAAATATCAGAAATAAATTAAAACTCTTATTCCTATTTTTATTTTAATTTTTAGAATTAACCAATTATTTTTAAAATTATTTCGTTTTTATTATTATTATTATTTTCTATTTACCAATACATAAATTTATTTTATATTTAATTTAATACTTTTTTTAAAATTCTTTATTCTTGTATAAGAATTAGATTTTTATCGAATTCATATTTTATTTTTTGCATATAACCTTCAGGAGATTCTTTATAAAATACTTTTAAAGGAATAATTTTTTGGTTTATTTCATAAAATACAATTTCTTTATATTCTTGCATTTTTTTAAATATAATTTATTTATTTTATGTATTTTTTTTATAAAAATATTCTATGTATTTATTTTATATAATTTTTTGTTAAAAAACAAAATACTCTTTAATTTATTAGAGCTTGTTTTTTTTTTTATATATATTTTAGATATTAACAATACTTATTATTTGTAAACATAAGTTTTTTAATTTTACTTTTTTATTAATTTAAAAAATAAAATATTAATTTATATTAAATACTTTAAAAATTATATATTTGATTTTTTTTTTTTCTAAACATTCATATAAAAATAAAAAAAAATATTAAAAAAAAAAATGTATTAATAATTTTAAAAAACAGTTCTTTACTTAATCATAATTTCCTAT